AGAAATCTGATTCAGTGAACAGCTGTAAAACAAGCAACACAGGAAAAACAGGATCAAAGGAGAGGAAATTATAGAACAGAGAGGGCAGAAGTTGAAAAATGTTATAAGGAGGGTAGTCTTTGCTTAAAACTAAATGAAACTACTTATTCATTTAAAAAGAAAAAGGAAAGGGAGAAAAATCTGCTAGAACGTAGTTATTAATACTATATTTGAAAGAACACATTTTTGTATTATATATTATAGAGAAAGGGGAGAGGTTAGTGCTCTTGGTCAAAGTTTGCTATTCCAAAGGGAGACTAATCCCTTTGGCTTTTAATGTAACAGCCACTGTTCATCACGATGGTTTTCTTGTCTGTTAAAGACTGACCAAGTATCCACAAAGTGCTAACTATAAATCTACATGGAGGAAATGTCCTGTTACTTAAAAATCATTCCCTGAGTATGGAGCTGTTTTGGAGACTTGAACCCTTGTCTCAAAGATACGAGCCTCATTATTCTACCTGCCATTTGTTAAAAACCAAACCAAATCTGTTGCCATCGAGTCAATTCCGACTCATAGTGACCCTGCAGGACAGAGTAAAACTGCCCCACAGGGTTTCCAGGGAGCAGCTAGTGGATTCAAACTGCCGACCTTTTTGGTTAGCAGCCAAACTGCCAACTGTTAATATAATTAAAATATCTGCACTCTTCCTATCTTTTACCGAGGCTACTTGTAAGGATTCTGAAATACCACCAATAATTGGTAGGTCATAGGCTGGTATTAGCCTTAGTGGTGCAGTGGTTAAGAGCTATGACTGCTAACCAGAAGATTGGCAGTTCAAATCCACCAGCCGCTCCTTGGAAACCCTATGGGGCAGTTCTACTCTGTCCTATACGGTTGCTATGAGTCAGAATCGACTTGATGGCAATGGGTTTGGTGTAAGGTTAGGCTAGTATTAGGATGGCAGACGAGCCAGAAAGGATGTGTGTGTAGACTTTGTGCTCCAGCAGAGGGCAGTACCACACAAAAATTATTATTTAAACAGCAGCTGCAGTGCTTTGTCAATTAACACAGATTTTCTGTTATTGAATAATTATTATTTAATGTCACAAAAATAGGTGATTCGTTTATACAGGTTATCTTCTGAATATTGCTGGGAAATCCTGGCACAACAATTTAAACACCCCCTCCGATTTTTTTTCTTTTTCTTTAAGCCTTAACAATTTTAAACCCAGCAATTTTAGATCATGCGTGCCTTATGTGCATCTCCCTCCACCTGTGGGAGTCCTGTGTGTGTGAGTCCTGGGTATGTGTGGTGTTGAATACGGCCTTTCTTTCCCTTCCCTTGCACGTAGTAATTTGCTATTGCAACCATATAAAATGCATGTTCTATAGAGCCTCATCATGTAGCATTACGGATGAGAGCTGTCTAGAGTATATTAAACCAGTTACTATCCAGTAGATTCTGACTCATGGTGACCCCATGTATGTCAGAGTAGAACCGTGCACCATCGGGGTTTCAATGGCGGATGTTTCAGAGTAGATCGTCAGGCCTTTCTTCCTAGGTGCCTCCAGGTGGACTCAGACCTTTAGGTTAGCAGCCCAGTGTGTTAATCATTTGCCCCGAGAGAGTATATTAGAATTTCACTAAAGAGATTTCATTATTTCAGTAGCAATTTAACATGGCCCTCAACGGACAGTATTATAAGCAACGCTCTGAAGTATTGATGGACTTAAATTTTAAGAATTATTTGATCCATTAACCATAAAGTAATTTCATTCCTTCCAACTGTCATCCTTGTAAAGCATTAGCATATTTATGCTATTAGTGTTTATTTGCTTTAGATAAAATTGTTTTGGGTTATTACACAATTGACTTAGCTTGTATTTCAGTGGAGAATTACTCTTTTGTATTAATGTATGTAACAGATAAAAGTCATCCTACGTTTAATCAACATCTAGAGTCTGAATGAACTTTAAAAAAAGATCGTTTGGTTACATTTCTTTCTGCTCACATCATGCTCGTAATTAAAACTTTTCATAAGGTAAACTTTAATTGATACAGATATCAATATGTGCAAATAATGGCAAGTTCAATTAAAACAGCATATTTATATAAACTCCTATGTAAAAAAAATCCCTTCCACCTTGCCACTTCCCCATGCAATTATAATATAAATTAAGAAAACTAAAAAGAAATTAAAAGCTTTCGCAGCCATGGTGGCAATGAGATGGAGACAATCCAGTGGTGGAAATTCTTAAGCAGTAAGACTTCGGAAACGGTGATGCAAAATGGAGACTTGAGTGGCTTGTGCACTGTTTTCCTGTTACACCTGAACTTGAAGATAAGGAACCACACAGAACTCTGCCTATATCTGATTTACCTGAATGCTTTGTTTTAAACTTTGTGATCCAACTCAGGAAAGGTGAGTTCAGCTGCCACGTATGACCAATAGCCGTGCTTGAGATACTTATGATGGTAAGTTCAGTTTTAAGTCAGTTTTGAGGGTGGGATTTTAAGTTTGGAATTGTGGAAACATGCCCCATAGAAGTAGTGCTAATCGAGAACAGCTCTTATTCTCTTTAGATTCATTAGGCCAGCCTGTGAAGTCTTTAATTCAGAAATGTTTGAAATATGGAACTGAAAGTTTTGTAGAACCCAATCACCATGTATAGCTGTGTTTCCATGGGGAATTCCTCACATTTTCCAGACTTTAGACCTGGGATAGTAGGATTTAGAACCCCCTTCCTCAGCTGCTGTTCGAAGCCACCTGAGACTTCCAGGAGAGCAGGACCTCCGTGGAGCAGGGAAGGGAGGGCAGTGGCAAGGGTGGGTGGGGGCTGCTGATATTTCAATCTCTTCCTCTCTCAGGTCACCTGGTCTTCCTGTTGCTCCTCTGCCCTTTGTCACTACAAGGTGGAGGTGGAGGGGGTCTCAGGGAATATAGGAAACCTTCCCATCCACCCTCCAGGGTCCTCAGGACTGTGGGGAGGCAGCACAGATTACTGGCCTCCCTCCTGTTCTCCCTTCTTTTTGGTCCCTGTCTCGGGGAGGGTGGAGGCCTACAAATGGGAGGAAGAAGGAGGAGGCTCAGGACAGAGAGCTGGAAGGGGTTTTCCCTTCACCCTCCTCCCCTTCCTCTCTCCCACTGCCTGTGCCTGGCTGGTATACAGCTGAGGTGAGGAGACCGCCTGACTAACCGTGAAGGGAAAGCAGAGGAAGGAGTTTATCCACAGCAGAGGGAGGGAGGGAAGGGGGCTTCTGGTGGCCCACAGCTAGGGCAGCCATTAGGCGGGCATTTGTCAGGCTGGGGCCCACTCCTGCACCCCTAAAGGGTGGGCAGCCCTGAGCAGTCACCACCTTCTCAGTTCCATTTCTCTAAAATGTCTACAGTGAATACCAAAGACTCATTTATATTTTCCCACAGTAAATTCTGGGTTAATAAATGAGAACATGGGATGTAAATTGAAATTCCTAGAGGTCTAGAGGAGTCCCTGGGTGGCACAAATGGTTAGGTGCTTGGCTGCTAACCAAAAGTTTGGAGGCTCGAGTCTACCCAGAAGCACTTGGAAGAAAGGCTTGGCACTCTACTGCTGAAAAATCAGTCATTGAAACCCTCTGGAACACAATACTCCTATGACACATATGGGGTTGCCACGAGTGGGTGTCAACTCCACCGGCAGCTGGCAGAGGACTAGAACTCCCCCTACAAGTTCTGTGCAGCACCTAGGTGGTGGGTGGCTCTAAGCATTCAACAGTTACCTCACTAAACAACAATTTGTAAAGCAATCTATTTTTAAAAATCTTACATTTTATTACTGGCTGCTATTTTAAGTACATCTTGTGATATAGCTGACAAGGTAAGATGAGCCAGGTGTGATTAGTAATGAATCAGAAGTGATGAGTAAATCTCTACGCAGATTTCGCTAGTTTAAAGTTTACATTTGATGGTGAAGCCACCTAATTAAAACCGCTGTCAATGTTAATGGAAAAAATGTGGTGGTTTAGAAAATAACTTTCTTGTTAATCCTAATCTTTCCAGTGTACTCAGTGTTATTCATCATTTTTGCTTATTTCAGTCAGGAATTTATACAGAATCTCTCCAAATTGAACAAGTGCCTTAACGTTCTAATCTGTTGCCCAACCCCCCTTCAAAAAAACAAACCCACTGCTGTCCAGTCAATTCTGACTCATAGTGATGCCCTAACAGCAACCCTATAGGACAGCGTAGAACTGCCCCATAGGGTTTCTAAGGCTGTAATCTTTCCGGAAGCAAACTGCCACATCTTTCTCCCGTGGAGTGGCTGGTGGGTTCAAAGCCTTGACCTTTGGGTTAGCAGTCGAGTGCTTAACCACTGCACCACCAGGGCTCCTTCTGTTGCTAAAACTTTAGTGGAATTGTGAACCAAACCAAAACTTTGCTTCCTCTCTTTTTTCCCCCAAGAGAACACCTGGAAAATCTGATCTCTCCAGTAATAAGCCTTCTTATCACCACACTTGCCCCTCAAAGCATCAAATAAGAACGTAGATATTCTTTGAACCAGATTTTTCATTTGGTTTAAAATCAGTGAAAATTTGGATTTTATGCATCCTTTCCCTACCATTGAAGATTTTTGCTTTTTGGCTAAACCGTTCTTTAGTGTTACTGGGTCCAGTTTAAACTCAGCAGGTGCTAGAGGTGGTGACAGTTCACCACCAGGCCAGCTGATTGTGATTTATTTCCCAACTGAGATTCACCTCAGGGATGAAGCATGCCCCCTTATATAAAAGATGTAAAAGTAAACAGTAAACTAAATTGAAAATAAATCACGGGTAACAAAGGCATTCTGAGTACTTCCTTTGTCAAATACCCTTTCCATGGCTCTATCCTCCCAATCAATAACCACTGATTTTTGTATTTCTTTTAAAAACACTTGAGCAAATGCCATTTTTGATCATGCACAGATATATAAAAGCATTTGAATAAAAAAGACGGCACATGTGTTATGAAGATAATCACCACGTAATACCAACATCCTGTAAATTCCCATAAGTACTTTATAACAAAAAAAAGCAACAAACAGGCTTCTCAGTGTTGTTTTCTTCCAAGTGGTGGGAGTGCCATTGATCACGGAGAGTCTATGTATGATGACTGTTCGAGGACCATCAATAATTCCAGCCCCTATTTTGTTTAAATCTCTAGCAGTACTCAAGGGAGAAGATCATTTTCTATTCATAATGGCATGAATCCATTCTGATCGTAATCTCTGGCTCCTACATGAGCTGACAAAATATTTTTTCCCCAATTCTAGATTCAAATATTAAATAAAAACAGATGTGCAAAAACAAACAAAAATCCACCACCGAATCACAGCCTACCCTCCACAAAACCACCTGCTTGGGGAAAACAAATGTCCTCTGTTCCACGTCCTTATCCTCAACTCGTAAAAAAGAACAGATTAACATTCCTCTTTGACCCATGGTGGTTTCAATGTCTGCAGAGGCCAACGAAGGAAGGAGGAGCACTCTAGAAGTGCCGGGGGTGGTCTCCACGGCCCCTCTTGGGCCACTCCTCCTCCACCCACCTCCGCAGGACCTTCTCCACGTCGGCCCGGTGGTAGAGCCTGCAGAGCTCTATCAGCTGGTCCACCGTCCTCTGACTGTTCCGGAGCAAGAACTCCAAGGTGGGGCTCTGGGGCCTCTGCTCCAGGAAGCACAATTCATCATAGGGCATGCCCCATTTGCTCGCAAAATTCCTCCAGTTCTTTACTGTCGGGTGACAGGGATCCAGCTTTATCCTGATCACGTCTAATACATCCTGGTCATTGAGCAAATCACTTATGTTGGGGGCCTGGAGCGAGCATGAGGAACACGTACAATTTTCTTTACAGGATGTGTCCTTGCTTAAATCTGCAGGGAAAAACAGAATATTTCAACATGTCAACAAGAGGCTTATAATATGCATTCATTTCTTATCACCTTTATTTTTCTCCTAAAGGGTCAATCCAAACCAAAACCAAACTGCTCCTGTCCTGCTGTTCAGTCAATTCCAACTCACGGAATGACCCCATGTGTTACAGAGTAGAACTGCTCCATAGGGATTTCTTAGCTGTTGTCTTTACAGAAGCAGATCGCCAGGGCTTTCTTCCACGGCACCGCTTGGTGGGCTTAAACTCCCAACCTTTTGGTTAGCAGCCAAGCACTTAACCACTGTGCCACCAGGGCTCCTTAAATATAACACAGCATATCTTACAGAGGAATATCTCCAATTGCTCATTTGTATGGACTCACACAATAACATGTTATTCTTTTAGCCAAAGATGGGCGGTTTTGCTGGAATCAGCAGTGGGTTTTTATAAAGCCAGTTTCACTTTTTTCCTGAGGCTCTCTATGTGTGATACTGTGCACTTGTGGGGCTGCTGGCCAAAGATGAGGGCTCCCAGGAACAGAGGTCTCTCTGTGCGCAGATAACCAGTCCAGCGGGGTCAGACGCCACCCTCCCCCCACCCCCAGCATGCTGCTGTGCCCGCCAAGAAACCAGCCCGTACTTGCATGAACTCCAGCCCTTACCCCTTCTAAGTTTCAAGTCAAGCCTGACAGCTTTTTAACACCAAAAACAACATGTCAGGGTGTAAAAGCATCGCACAATTCTTTAAAAGGTCTTTAAAAATAAAACCAAGCTGGAGTATCCACTCCATATGCATATTTGAAAATGAGTGATAACTGATAATGCCAGAAAAGTTACTTTTTAGATTTATAGCCACCTTATCATCCCTCTGCCTTATCTGTGTGCTCTTCACCTGTGGGGCTCCCTTTGAACTGGGGCCAACACCCAGAGATATGCTTGGTGGGGTGGAAACCAGGCTGCAGGATGAGCACGAGGTGTGTGAACTGAGCTTTCACCATGAAGAGCACCCTCCCAGCCCAGTGGGAGGACAACATTCTTATATCCAATCATCTTTTGCCCCATTTATTAGTGGGAGGAGAAGTCAGTAGGTAAGAGGTGTTGGCAAGTAATTTATAATACATTATTAAGCCGTGGCTGCACAACATGGCAACTTGAATGCCTTAAATTCTTCAGCGACACTGAGTTTCTGGGCCCCTCTGACCCTGGATATTAACCAAGGTCAATCACTGGCCTGTTAAATCCTAGGGAAGGTTCTGATGACTTTTACTACCCAAACCAAAACCAAACTCATTGCCGTCGAGTCCATTCCGACTAATAGCGACCACATGTGACAAAGCAGAACTGCCCCATAGGGTTTTCTAGGCTGTGATCTTTACAGAAGCAGATCACCAGGTCCTTCTTCCATGGAGCCGCTGGGTGGGTTTGAACTGATGACCTTTTAGTTAGCAACCAAGTGCTTAAGCACTGCAGCACCAGGCCTCCTTAATGGAGTTAAGAATTTGGAAAGAGGATGGGACTTTGGTGATCAAAAGGCTGAGAACCAGCAAGTTTGAGGCAAGTACAAATATAAAAATAAAATAAGAGCCGTGAAAATTATGCTTATACCTTTTGACCTACTAATATGACTTCTGGGAATCTCACCTACAGAGTTAATCCAAAATATGTATATACATGAAAACGTTTACTACAATGGTGCTTATATTAGCACTTTTTAAAACAAACGAAATGTCAAAAGCTAGGGGAATAAAACCAAAAAAGCCAAACCCATTGCTGTTGCGTCGATTCCGACTCATAGCTACCCTATAGTGTCTAGTGAAGTAAAATACTGTACTACTTACTACTTGATGGAATATTATTTAAATAATTATGTAGCAACCTAGAAAATGTTTGTGCTGTAATGTTAAGTGAAAAATGTAGGGCAGAAAGAATGTATATACTCTAGGATTAAAACTATGTGAAAACTGCTAATATTACTACAGAAGAAGTGTACAAAAATAATAGCTATTGTGTTAACTTGGCAGGATTGTCTATTTTACAAACTTTCTCTAGTGATGGTGTATTTCTGTGATAACTGAGACAATGTATTACATTAACAGATATATTGTTTAGCTTAGCACAGAGGACAGTTATCAGTGGAGCAGCCCTCCTCTCGGCCAAGCTTCACTTACGCCTTTGAGCCCACCCCTTCCTACCATTTCCGTGACTTCTCTCTCCAGTTATTGCCTTTCTTTGCCCTCGTTTTCAGCCACCCACCTCTACTGATTCTCTCTCCTTTGCCTACAAATGTAGGTATGTTGTTGTTGTTAGTTTCCATCAAGTTGATTCTGACTCACGGAGACTGCACATGTGCAGAGCAGAACTGCTCCACAGGGTTTTCAAGGCTGTGAGCTTTCAGAAGCAGATCACCAGGCATGTCTTCTGGGGAGCATCTGGGTGGGTTTGAACCACCCACCTTTTTGCAAATAGTTGAGCACTTAACAGTTTGTGCCACCCAGGGATTCCTTACAAATATGTACAAACCAAACCAAACCAGTTGCCGTCAAGTTAATTCCGACTCGCAGCAACACTACAGGACAGAGTAGAACTGCCCCATAGGGTTTCCAAGGCTGTAAATCTTTATGGGAGCAGATTGCTGCATCCTTCACCTGCGGAGCAGCAGGTTAGCAGCCTAGAGCTTAACTGCTGTGCCACCAGGGCTCCTTACAAATATGTATAGGGGTCCTCTATCCTAAAAAACAACTACCTCCAACTACCCTTCTCTGGTTTTATAACTTGCTGAAGTCACTTTCTCTTTCTCTTCTTTTATTCACTGTTAAACTTCTAGAAAAAGAGTTAAAAACCCACTGCCTCCAATTCTTCACCATGCTCTTAATTTTCATTCCCTTTGGCTCTGAGCATCGTCTGACCCAGCCTCATTTCCTCCAAACTCCTTGTGCGGAGACTGGACCCAGTTCCCTGTACCCCAACTGCTGGAGAGAGTCTAGTTCTGACTGGGCAGAAAATCCAGAACAGGGAAGCAGATCCCCACCTGACTCTGAGGGTCACTGGCTGCCTGGACCTCCTGCTGCTGTGGACGCCCCCATCACATCTGCTCCCCTTGGATATTGCTGCTCCTGGAACCAGGCCCAAAGCTTCTTTGCCCCTCTGGACATTACATTTGCACAGCAGGCTGGTCCTCCTCAGGGTTCCTGTTTACAGCCACACCGGGTATCCCCAGGCATGTCCCACCCTGCCTGGCCGTTCCTTCCCTCATCTCCTGCAATGTCGAGATCCTGCCTCATAGCTGAGTCCTTGAGAGCTAGAAAGAGGTGCCCTCCTTCTGTCCTGAGCCCTAAGCCTTCCTCTGTCCACATTTTCTCCCCCTTTTGGTCTCCACTCCCACAACTTTACCAGTCACCTCTACAAGGCCCTCCCACCAGAACAGAAGACCCTTTCTCTTATCATCGGCAGGACCAGCACAGGCCCTGGTAGATAGTAAATGCTTGACTAATGTTTATTGGATAAGTGAGTGAGTGAGTGAATGCAGAAGTGAGTAAATGAATAATGAGCCCCACTCATTCTCCTGGGCTCCAGGACTAACTACTGGAAAGTTCCTCTTGATGTCCAGATGACATCTCCAGCTCAGGTGACCTAAAACCGTGCTTAAAGTTTCTTTCCCTATGCACCAAAAATACCCTAATTTCCTGTCATGGACTGAATTATGTTCCCCCAAAAAATGTGTGTATCAGTTTGGCTGGGCCATGATTCCCAGTATTGTGTGGTTGTCCTCCATTTTGTGATTGTAATTTTATGTTAAAGAGGATTACGGTGGGATTGTAACACTCTTACCAGGTCACATCCTTGATCCTATGTAAAGGGAGTCTCCCTGGGGTGTGGCTTGCACAACCTTTTATCTCTCAAGAGATAAAAAGGAAAGGGAAGTGAGCAGGGAGCTGGGGACTTCACACCACCAAGAAAGCAGTGCCGGGAGCAGAGCACGTCCTTTGGACCTGAGGTTCCTGCAGAGAAGCTCCCAGACCAAGGGAAGACTGATGACACGGACCTTCCTCCAGAGCCAACAGAGAAAGCCTTCCCCTGGAGCTGACGCCCTGAATTTGGACTTGTAGCGTACTGGACTGTGAGAGAATAAACTTATCTTTGCTAAAGCCATCCACTTGTGGTATTTCTGTTATAGCAGCACTAGATGACTAAGACATTCCCTATTTGCACTTAGGGTTCCCTAGAGTCCTTCCAGACTTTTTTTTACTGTGTCCAATCAGAGACCAAAGCCCAGCCTTCCATGCAAAGCACTCCACGCTACTCTTACTTCCTATGACTTCCTAAACATAGCCCATGCTGCAGCCACACTGGACTCACTCAGTTGCCTGGACAGATAACCTGGCATTCTCTTTTTCAAAACGTTTAATTAAATTTTTTTTAAACATGAATATAACCTCAGTGTAGAAAATTTAGAAAACATATACGATGAAGAATTTTGGATAAACTATTAGACATTTAGGGTTTCCCCAATTTCTCATGACTATGAAATAATGGGATAATAATGGAATGCAGACCCCTGCATATAAGCTTTTGACCACATCTTTAATCATCTCACCAGTAATGGGACTATTAGGTAAAGAACACGAACATTCTAAAAGCTGCTGATACATGTGCCCCAAATTGCTTTCCTTGGAAATGATGGCTGTGTGGATTTACACCCCCACCAGAGTATAGTGCCCCTGGTGGTGCAGTGGTTAAAGCAACTGACCGCTAACCAAAAGGTTGGTGGTTCAAAATCACTAGCTGCTCTGAGGGAGAAAGATGTGGCAGTCTGCTTCCGCGGAGAGAAGGTACGGCCTTGGAAATGCTATGGGGTCACTATGAGTCAAAACTGACTTGAGGGCAGTGGGTTTGGTTTGGTTTAGAGTATAGTAATGCCGCATATCTCACCTCTCCTTTGTGAGCACTAACTGTTAAAAATCTTTCTCAATTTCCTAGGTTAAATAATTATACCTTACAGTTT